TAATTGCATCCTGGACGAGAGGCGAAAGTTATCGAAGGGCCACCATGATTAGAGATTCTGAACCAAGATTTCTGGGCCAACAATTGTTCGAACCGTTCACCCCTGCAATTGCCCATCGTCGTGACCTTATCTCGATTGCAATTCGTTGGTCGAGTGATTCTGAGGAACTTGTTTCCCTTAATCCATTTGTAAATACAGTGGAACTCTATTTATATTGAAATCTCGAATAATAAGATTTGATTATCCCATTTTAATATCGCTCCATTTATACGAATTGTGTATCACATGATACGATTAATTAAAATACTACTTTGTGTATTACTATACAAAAATTAATCCAAATTTAACTATAACATTTTATATAGACGGATTTCTATTATATCAATTACAAAAAAGAACAAATAAATAAATATTTCAATAGAATAAATTTATTTAAACAAACAACTGTATATATAATAATGATTAATTAATATCTTGATATAAAAACCATTTTACGATCATCAAATGCGTTCAGATATATTCCATCCATTGAAACTTTTCAACGGTTGTAAAATCGTTCATTGGTCGCGTAATAGCGGGTTTCTAGGTTAGCCGACATTTATATCCCGCGTTAGCATTGGTCACGATGTTATCCCTTTTCTCCCCTCCCCCCTCGTTATCTGCATCGACTCGTTCGATAAATTACAACGTACGGGTCCGAGAAGTGTAAGCGCGAATAATATAGTCCACCCTCCGCGTGTACGATTACGTATGCAAAACGCGGCAACAACAGCAATACCGAGCGATTTCCTAAGAATTTGCTAATTGACTGCTCGTGCTGGTGCCGCTGCTGCTCGCCGACACTCCTTCATTCGATACTTGGCGACACGGAGATTTTTACAAGCTACTAAGGTCACGAAATTCATTCCTGTCGCTTTTAATATTGCGTTGTTACGAGATTGAATTGGAGGATTAAAATTAAAATATCGTTTTATCAATAACGGAAATTGCCTGATCAAATTTTTGAAACATGTGATAATTGAATGGAAATTATTTGAATAAAGGTACTGTTCTTCGATCTTGATCATTTTTATTCAATATAATTTGTCAAGATTATTGTCTTAAGTAATATCGTGAAGATTTTACTTCAAAAAGTTATTCATTATAAGAAGTTATTGAGACAGATTTTTTTTAACAGGTTAGGTTAGGTAATTTAGTTCGGTTTAACTGTTAACCAAACACAAATTGGTTATCAGGCAAATCAAATTGGTAATCAGTTAAATGAATTTTTATTTAATTTTAATTTGAAGTGAGATTAAAGTGAGAATAGATATGAAAGAAAAATTTATTTAATGGATTGATGATAGTAACATAACCTAACCTAAACTATTTTCAATTGTTAATAATTGTTTTAATAAACAACATCGTTTCAATAAACAATCATCCAATAAAAATTTGTTATTAAGAAATCTTAGGGATCAAATTTTTTTTTAAATAATTTATATTATAATAATTTCTAAACGTTTTCGTATCTTTTTATACGTTCTACTTTTCTATCGTTAATTTTTCTCTAAAAAAAAAAAAAAAAAAAAAAATAAAAAGATTTAATCATTCTACCGATAATAATCCACTGATAAATCAAGGAAAAATTTTTGCGTTAAAGGTTTAAACATATCATAATTGAGATCCAGTCGGTCGTGGGAATCATTAAAGCACGCACCACATCGAAACTCATATATCGAATTACATTGAACGAAGCAAGGCTCCAGGATATCTCGTGTCGTTGGAAAACTTTTCTTTTTCTTTTCCTTTTTCTTTTTTTTTTTTTTTTCTTTTCTCCTCTCTTCGAGTGAGGTCGCACGAAACATTTGTCCTCAAACTTTGCCCCGTGTCGATCCTGATAAAAAGTTTGAACACACTTCGTTTGCATCGAGCTTGGTCGCTCACTAAACGTTGAATGTCGTGAGAAAAGGCGCTGCATTTTTTTTTATCTCGAAAAAATCATCGTTCATACGAGGAGAAAGAAAAAGAAGAAACGACGGATTGTATTGGATTCGTGAATTTTTTCAGAAAAAAAAAAAAAAAAAAAAAGAAAATCGAGAGCGTAAGAATTTGACGATACAAGTGATTTATTTAAAATTAATTCTACATTTTTATACGATGAATTTATTACAAACATTTTACATATATATTATTTTATTCTATTTAACCTATTAATTTAGAAATATTCGTAATCTTGAAGTCGTTATACGTATATATTTTCGCCAGTGATTCTATTTAGATATAAAGCTTAACCTCATTCCTAATCTCAAATAACACTTTGTGACATAGTCGTTATAAACAAAAGGTTGAAAAAAATAAGATATATAATTTACGTTAGAGAGATACTATACACTTTTACTATCTTATTCTGCAATAATATTTTTTATTTCGAATAATCTTTATATAATAATAAACATTAATTTTGTATACATCAATATGATTATTTTCAATTATATTTGTATTATTTTTCTGCCAAATTTTTGACATTTATCTACTCCACGATATTACTTATCTTTATTTCGAAGTAATTAACATTTATGATAACAAATCGATATTTAATTTTTTTTATATGATAAATATTAATTTTACGAGTATTTTTATATCCATTATTTTTTTTTTAATCATTAAATTTTTTACGACACTTATTTATTCCGCAACATTATCTTTATTTCGAAATAATTAATAATAATTGATGCTTAATTTTTACACGATAAAGAGAAATATAATTAATTTCTTCTAACTCTTCGATATAAAATAATTATTCTTAATTATATTTGTATATTAATTTTTACATTATCAAAGAATTGATATTTATCCTACCATGGAAATCCTCAATGTGTCAAGTTCGTTTGTAAGAGAACGATTAAGTTGTAAGAATAAAAGTGGTTTTGCACGCCTATCAGACCAGCCAACCGGTTTCGTGTCGGTTCACTTCTTCACTCGTACTACTTCGACTTTTCCTCTTATGGTGTTCCATTTGCCTTCCTTTCTCTCTCCCATTCTCCCTCCGTACATACTCCCTCACCCTAGTTTCCGCCATCCCCCCATTCCACGCTGCACTTGTTGCTTCGTCACGAAATCAACTTGTCCGAAATTTTCAATCTTATCGTCGGATTATTGCGTACGGTGTCAATCTCGATATTTTTTCACTACAATTATGCAATGTTGAGTTTGATGAAAGAAACAAAGGGAAAATTTCGAAAAAAAAAAAAAATGGATATACGTTGAATGATATTCATTAATGTGTGTTGAGTATTATATATTTAAAATATTATTAATATTAGTTTATCTTAAGATTATGCATCGTTCGATGAAATATTTATTTCTATTTATAATGACTTATGAAAGTATATACTTTTTTCTTGCTTCGTATTTTTTGTAACGAAATTTCTGATTTGTAATTGTGCAAAGCGGAATAAACACGATTTCGTCTCTTTTAAAATATAACTTTGTAACTTTGATATCTTTTTTTTAAACAAATCTTCTAATTAATTTACTTTATGTTGTAAAAAAATTCTCGGATGAAATTGAATTAAAAATCAAAAAAAAAATGAGAAAATTTCTCCATGCATGTCTATTGCATAGAAATTTTCGTTATAATTAAAATCAGAACTTTCGAGTTAGAATTTTCTAAAATTTTGTAAAATAGTTGAATTTCGAATATTTTCATATGTATCTATTTTAAAAATCCATATTTTTACGAGCACTTTCCCCTTTTTACTCGATGCAAAAAAATAAGAAAAAGTAGGAAAGAGTAAAAATAGGAGATAGGCGGAGAATTAAAACACTTAGGCGCATGATGTCGAAATGACGGCGTTACTTTGGAAAATTAATAAGTCGATGCACGATGGAAGGCTGTACGTAATAATTCAACCTGGTACGGTAGAAAAGGAATGCAGATCGACAGAGGTGAGGTATATTAAATGCGTGTACTAACTACCTGACTACGTGATGAAGCATTCCATTGCACATGACTTAACATCACGACGATCGTCGACAGTTTCATAGAGGGAATTTCATAGCTCTCCATTAGCTCCTTTGCCAGCATGATAATGGCTCTTTGATTACAGAGATGCAAATGCATTTAGTCAACGTCATCCCTAGAGGCTAGTTCACAAGATTTGACGGCAAACTTTGGCTAAAACAAAATACTTTTTCAAACGATTTATTATAATCATAGATATAGATATATATTGTATATATACGTATTATTTTTAATTTAATAGAAATAAGAAATTTTTGTGTTAAAGTTTAAAGCAATAAAAAGAAATAATATTTACCTGTTTGAAATTCTTTTATTTCATTCTATTTAATTATATTTTTACTTAATTACTCCATCCATATATAATCATTCTAATTTCTCTGATTGCTATTTATTAGTGGAATAATTAAATATCTTATTATTAATTAATTATTCAAATTGTAGAAATAATATGTTAATAATTTCAGTACGTCTGGAAACTATATTTGGAACTATATATACTTAGATATATAATATAATTGTTAAACTATTTTCGTGTTTAGAGAATTAGAAATTCGAGAAGCGAGCAGTCGGTTAATTATGCGCAATTTCACGTAAACGCAAACTCGAAAACAATCCACGCAAATTCATTTGTCACAGTGGATTATGTTCAATCAATTGGAAATTTAATAATGGGCAAAATGTGATTTTATCGATTTATTTCTGATTAATTTTTAATTTATTTTAAATATAAAGCAGGAATGTATTTCGTTCGTTGTAAGTATTTGTTCATTTCGCGTTACATCGACAATGTGAATAATAATCGATAAAGAAAAGTCGTATTAAATATGTAAGGTTAACCAAAAACGAATATAAATATTGTGCGAATTCTTTTCTTAAATGTTAATCAAGTTAAGATAAATTAAATAGGTATGTACAATTTTAAGAAAAAAATAATCATATTCACGTTATTTTTTTTTTCTTTTTGATACAGTAATACAAATTGAATACACTTGGAATGGCATATCTCTACATCGATCGACTGAAGAGCGATTTTCAACGATCCGATTTTTACAATCCACGCACGATAATATACAAAAGATGGTGTCCGCAAATTATAACGAAATATCTAAATAGTGAGAATTTCGATGATCTTTACGTTTCAGAAAACATTCAAGTCAAAAACTCTTCTATGTATTTTATACCCAAAGTACCAAAAATTTTTTCGATCGGTTTACGATTAGATAACAAACATAAAGATAATATAAATTCCGTTCAATTTTGGGTCAATACTAATATCAAGAAATTTTTGGAACAATATTTTAGCTTTTTTCTAAGGTATTTTCAATTTTCATATTCACGTTATTTATTTATTTATTTTTTTTTTTGAATCTTTACGTCATTATATACGAATATAAATTAAAGAACTATTTGCAGATACCAAAATTATTTGCATATTTTATTGGAACCGAATGAAAATAATGACGAATCGAACGTTTTCTGTTTCACTTCTTTCAAATCGATAATTTCAAAATGTTCGAAAAATATGAAAGAAAAATCTCCCGAAAAAAGTCGAAATTCAAAATGCATAATGCAACATTGCAAGCGATGTTGTAACTGTACAACTTTACATGATTTCCAATTACCAACAAAACAAAATTATTCCAGATTAAAACCGCACGATAATCAGTGTACCAATCAATGCAAAATAGAGAATTCTGACACTGGTTCTATCAGCAGTCAAATTAATGACGAAGAGAATTACAAAGTAATAATACCTACTAAATACTTATCGGACAAAGAATATGATTCTAAATATAGCTCACGTACGTCTTGCGACGATCAAATCACGAAAGAAAGTTATTCCAAATTAAAACTCCACGATAACCAGTGCACTAATCAATACAAATCTATAGAAAATGCCAATATTATTTCTACGACTAGTCAAATTAATGACGAAGAATCGAATTACAAAGTGATAATACCCACTAAATATGTATCGGATAAAGAATATAATTCTACGCATAGCTCGCGTACCTCTTACGACAATCAAGTGACAACACAAAATTATTCGAAATTAAAATCGCATGATAACCGGTATACTAATCAGTACAAATTTACAGAAGATACCGATACTACTTCTGTCATTGGTCAAATTAAAAATAAAGATTTGAATTGTAAAGTGATAATACCCACTAAATATTTATCGGATAAAGAATATAATTCTAGATATAGTCCGCGCATCTCTTACAATAATCAAATCATTAAAATAAAAAGAAATGCTGGTTGTCAAACATCGGAAAAGTGCAAGTCATATCACGTGTACAAAAAACCAAAAAAAAAAATTGAAAGTAGTAAAAAAAGAAGTATCGCTTACTTTTCGAGCATACCATCTTCTAAGGACATCAAGACAATTTTCGAAACTAATCGAAAAAATTTTAACAATGAAAAGAGTAGAACGAATTTAGAGTTATTAGAAACTCAATATATCAAAGAAATAACTAAGAATAAAAATAAGAAAATAGACAAAAAATTGAAGAAATACGATAAAGAGAATTTGATACGAAAAAAGAAAAAAAGTCATATAAGCAATGATAAAGAGAACGTATTTAAATTTAAAAATGATAAAGAAATAAATACGAGAGAAAAAAAATTAAAAAATGAAAAGATGCTTAAAAATATTGAATCAAATATTGATTCTGAAATTTTCTTCGATTGTAATAGCATGCCAAATCTTACGGACGATAATATTACAAAAATATTTCGAGAATATAATGATAGAAATGAACGATTAATGTTAAATGAAAATGGAGATGTATTCAAGAATGTATTTCAAGAAAGATTAATTAATGATGTCAAAAATAACACCAACGTGTCTCCAATGACTGCTTATGATGACACAACAAATTTTTCAGATAATAAAAATTGTACGAAAAATAAAGAGAAGATTATGCTTGATAATTATGATATGATTAAATTAAACGAACCTTCATCAGAGATGAACACGTCATGGAGATCGCAAACTTATTTGATAGAAAATAAAACTTCCGAACTAATGATCCTTGGAAATGTAAAAAAGCGATTAGAAGAGGATTACGATGATTATTTTTCACTATACGAAGTGGATGATGACACGCATGATTTAGACAACGATCTTTTTCTTGATGCAAAAAACTCAAACGATATTTTAGAAATTGACAAGCCTTGCATTGAGATTAAAGCGGATTACCATGCATCGCAGGATAACCTCAAAACTTCAAAACAATCTATGTTGACAGCATCGATAAAAAAGAATCAAGAAATGAAAGAAATAACGCAACAATCGATACGTACCTTAATTTGTCCATGTTCTATTTGTTTCTTAAATTCGAATTTGAACAATAAGCAAAACAGTTTTTATACAGCATTAAAAGAACGAGAGTGTAGTTCAAACTCATCAATCGAATATTGTAGTGCCAGTAATATTCCTTTATCAAAAAAATCTACTCAAAATAGTTCTTTCAACACGATATTTCAAACACACTCGATGGATACTACTGTGTTATACGATGATGACTTGAAGAAATCAGAAATCCAAAATAATTGTTTTTTAAACGATATTTCATACGAAGACGACAATGCGCTTCACGATACTAGGGAATTTTTCGATCGAACGTTATTAAATTCGTATATGATGTGTTGTTGTCAACGGAACTCGACACCAAATTTTTCCAAATCAAAACTGGTCACAGAATCGTTGGATTCTGGAATTTTAACCGATTTTTCACGAGATCAGCTTCGAATTATATCAGACGAACAATTTTGCGAGAAAAGTGAAAAGAACAATAGAGGTGAACGAAAATGTTACACGAAGAAAGTGGATTTGTTGCCGACTTTTGATTTCAACACGGATAGCAGTTATTCGGACGATTCGCTTAATCGAAGGGTCGATCTTGTGGTGAAGAAATTCACAGAAAATTTGATTCTAACAGAAAGAAAGGCAAGAATCAAATTAAGGCGAATGGAGAATTCTACAAAACGTAAACAGATGAAGAAACAATGGAAGAATCGACGACAAGTACGTCTAGAGATTATTTTGAAACAAATTAGAAAAAATTTGGGAAAACAAATAAACATGATTTAGAGATGTATCATAGTATCAAAGTTCTTTGAATAATAATATTAGAGATAAAATTGATAAGAAGGAAATATAATTTGAATATATATATATCTACAGTATTGTTCAAAAATTATTTGGATAATAATAATAAAATCATTTGAATTTGAATTGAAAAAAATAATATCTCGAGAAACAAGTGTGTTTTAAAATTTGAAATTGTTTAGAAGTAAGCAAGATATGTATACCTATAGCATTGTTATCTAAATATTTGAGTCAAAATAATAGATAATTGTAAATGAATTTTCTATATTATGAAATTTTGTATAAAAATTATGTAAATTATAGTGATATTTAAAAAAAGATATACGGATAAAATCTTTAATTTCAACATTTATTATCATTTTTATATTTAAATATATTATATTTATATATGATTTTATAATGTATATATATATTTAAAAGAAATATATTCAAGATAAAACAATGAAACGAAGTTTTGTAAAATTTTATAAATATTAAATATGTAAAATTATTTTTATTATTTTTTAATCGATATACAATCGAAAATAAAATAGACAATTATAAAATAGAATCAAAAGAATTAAAACTCTAAATTAAAACTCTAAGAATTGTTTGTAATTCAAATAACTATAAACAATACTGTATGTATAAAATAAAATAGTAAATTTTATAAAAATTTTTAAATTTGCATATCCGTAATGTGATACAACTCTATGTTTTTTTTTTTAAAATTGATTTAGATTGATAATCGCATAATTCTATCAATTATTACAACAAGCATAATAATATATATTGAAAAATAAATAATTGACATAAATAATTAATAATAGGTACAGAATATATTAGAATATATTCCCAAACGAAGTTTTGTTTGTAAATTCGAGCCTTCTCTATGGACAAACGATGACGATTGGGCTATAAATAGTTCTACGCCACCAATATATTCATTCTCCGATTCTGAAATCGATCCTTTATAATTTATTAAAAAATTAAAACAATTCATACATTTCAGTTTTATGGGTTTGTATAAAACGAAGCGAAGATACGAGATAATCATTCTTCACACGTACGATTTATTTTATTTCTTAATCATTTTTATATTCAAATAATCTCAATTAATTAATCTTATATTTGAGTTAAAAATTAATTAACTTAATTCATTTTTTTTTTCAGATTTTTAAGTTATCTACAATGATCTACTTTCAATGATATCAAATAATTAAGGATTAATTTATGATTAGAAAATTTAAGAGACATAAAATTATACGCTTTTTTAAAATGTGTAATTAAAATAATAGAACCAAATAATATTATGAGAAAAAATTTAAAAAAATTTAAAGATTTAACATTAAAACTATTCTACGTTGAAAGGAAAAAATCTTGAAATCTTTCATCTTGTCATGATTGGTAATTTTAATATTAAAAAATCTAAATCACACTTTCAATTAACTTATATTTGAGTTATTTTTTAAAAAATTAAGTAACTTAATTAGTTCAATAATTTTTAAGTTATTCACAATTCAAGGATATTAATTAAAAATTATTAATTATTTTAAATTAAAAAATTTAAGAGGCATAAAATTATTATGGAATAGATTTTTAATTAGTTAACTAAAATAACAGAATTAATTAATATTATAAGAAAGAACTTAAAGAAACTTAAAACTATCCATTTTGAAATCTTTTCTTTTGTCATACTTTATAATTTCAATGTTAAAAAGAAATCCAATAACTTATTATAATTGTTTGGTTCTGAAGAGACAGACTAAATTTAAATGAATTATCTGGATATTAAATTTGCAGGAAAAGTATTGCATTGCACTTATTCAAAAGCAATGAACCCACGGATCTTCCTTCCAGCGCGCGAATAAGCAAACAAAACGACAAAGAAGATGTAATTCAGTGAAAGGACGTTAGGTGGAAAGTCAGTGAAAGGTCAAAATGTTTGGACGCGGCAACAATCAAAATGTAGAGACACGTTGATTCTCTGGTTGGTCCAAACGGAAGTTGGACCGTTCATTAGACGAGACTGACCGCCTCTGTACTGTGGTTTCCTTTGAGGGGAGTCGAAACGAGAGAACGTATACTCGATAACCAGCCGAGCGGAAATGCATAAACGACCAACAGACAGGTCTTTCCTACACTCTCTGTTCGAAAGGAACAAGACTACATCCTTCTCCTTCTATCTGTGTATCGGTTGTCCGACAAACCATTTCTCTATTAAACGAGGGTCTGTTGGAAAAACTGACCGTCGCTACTGGACGACACCGATCAAAAGAAATCTCGGTTTGCGTTTGTCAACTGGATGCTCTTGATTTGTTGGAAATTACTTTTCTTTCTTTTTTCTTTTTTTTTTTATTTCCGGAACGCGTCCAATTTCTTTGTTTCTTCTCTCTTTGGCTTTTTTTTTTACCATTTTTCCTTGATTTTTATAATATCAAACTTGGAGCAGATAAGAATGGGAAGTGAATACTTAAATATTTAATTAATAGTTCTACAAGTAGTAGTGATAAGTATAAATTTTGGCCAAAAATAATATACTTAATAAAAAGTATCTATAATTGAAATATAGTTAAAAAAATAATTTTCCTATAACGTAAAACTATAGACAAAAAATATAGGTTATTAATTTTATAAACTATAAATAAATTAAATTATTTATTAAATCTGTCCATAAAATTATCCATAAAATATTTTTATAAAAATAGTACACAGATATTCGTTAATTAGTAAACATATAATGTATCTACGTTTTATGATGTAATATAATATCGTAGAACATGTTAAGCATTCATCATAAGAAAAAAGTGAAAGAAAAATAATATTATACAAAAATGAAATAATTAGCGCAAAAGTAAACAAAAAATTAGAAAAATTCAGAAATAGGAAAATTTATTTATTGTTTGCATAAAATCATTTTGTTTTATAATTATAGTATTACGATTTCCAAAATATTCTATATATTCTATATATTTATTCTATATATTACTATTATTTAATGTTATTCATTTTTTTAGTTTTTGGTTACGTTATTTAATTATTGTGATTTGTTGAATTTATTATGTAAAAACTTTTTAAAAAAGATTGAATTAATTGAATAAATAAAATATTTATTTAAAAGTCCTTTTGCTGTATTACGTAATTTTCAAAATATTTAAATTAGTGCTACAATATTAATAATGAAAATTCTAATATCACGAATGATATTGAATTAAAAACACAATTGTTAGATTTCCAAGAATGCTTTTACTATGTATGTAGAAAATCGATATTCATTGTTACTAAATTTTGTATGCATAAGACAAAACCTATAATCAGTTGTCCTTAGTAAAGGCGTGAATCCTTAACATTTCCTATCTTTATGAAATGTTCTTAAGGGTGCATAAATGAAAAAGGCTTATCTCTATGTGAATTACTTCATCAATTTTATTCGGAATATTTATATTTCTTAAAAATGTATTTGAATAAATTATATTTCACAAAAAAACTTCGTATGGATAAATATATATATTAAAATTAAAATTGAAAACATTTTGAAGAAAAAAAAATTTGAAGTATTTATTTTTGATAGTCTTTCTATCATTTAAATTACAAAATTTATAAATAAAAATTCTTTTAAAAAGATATTGCATTAAAAAAATTATTTTACATTATTTTAGAAAATTTCATTAAAAATAGAATTTTTGTTTTGATAATTTTTTAGGTTAGCTCGTATTAGCTCGCAGAGACTCTTACAATTGAGAGGTTAGAAGTCTTACAATTGAGAAAGAAGTTTGAATTCGCATATAGATATTCTTGTGATTGAATGTAGTACTTATATATATATATATATATGCTCTAATAAAAATCACAGTTGGAAGGAACATAATTACTCAAGTACACGTGGTAGCGGATCGAAAGAGAGAAGGAAAGAAAAGAAGAGCAAGAGGGTGAGATGGTTAGGGTAGAATGGCGGTTGGATTCAAGCATCGGAGAAATCCGCATTCACGTAAAGGAGGATCAGCCGTGGAAAAGCATCTTACACCGAGTCTACGATATCTAATTCCCGAGAGTTCTTTGATATATATATGCTCACACCAGTTCGTTCTGTCGTAGCAGAAGAGAGTCTATACAAAGGGAGAAATAAATATCACGGTAATCTCGAATCCACTATGTGGGACACACGGAGATCTTCGACGTCTTCGTCACCGTTATACACGACACAAGTCATTGGGAACGTCTGCTCTTTAAGCAGGGAGCACATATATATATACCTTACCAATGATTATGAGAATTTTATTCGATTTATATATCGAATACGAATTATTCTATATAATTTAATTTATCGTATCTTAAGAAAATAAAAAAACTTAAATAACGATGATAATGCAATTTCTATATTTATTTATTATTGCGTAAGAAAATCAAATGACTGCACAAAGGTCATTCATTTTATTATATATATCCTACACGAGACACACCAAGTTGAAGAAAATATTGCCGAGAGAATCAATTGATCCAGGAGAATGGTCGAAGAATGTATGAAGGTTGGAGACATCCCGGGGGTTCGGGTCAAAGCAATTTTCGGCTTCGGAGGCAATCGTGTTCTAATACCCCAAGATAAAATAAAAGCAAAGGCGGCGTGCCCTTCGTGAAAGCGATTTCACACGAATGGCAAATCTCGTTCTCGCGAGTTGATTTAATTTTAAACTTTTCAATTGTTACTTTCATTTGTTTTAAAATTTTTACGTTTTCGTTTTTTATTAACGAAGATTTTTATATATAAATTATTTTGTATTAAAAAAATATATTTTGTATGATTATTTAATAACTGATTAATGTATTTTATTGTATACATGAAAGTTTATAACCTCCAACTTGAAATCTTCGAAGAAAAATGTGCTTTTAAAACGATTGCATAGAATTTGTTCATATGTTATCTTTTATATGGTATTGTACGATATATAACAGATTTGCAGGAAAACGTACGTGAATCAAGAAGATATTCGGAATGCTCGAGGCGAAAATTTCTCTCTTCCAAGAAATCCAATGTGCCAAGGAGTGGCAAAGGTTTCTGAGACGTACTTTCCTAAAGCTTTCACAGTTATTATCCCACAGATGTTTGTCGTTTAGGAGATATCGAGGCGATATTGTGGCATCGTGCACTATACCCACCGATTGTTTACCTAATGATAAAAGCACCGTATTCTGTTTGCACAACCGTCTTTCAAATAAGATTTTTCAAATACGACTCGACCTTTCATTTTTTCTGTAGTAACACCCTTATTCTTTTCTTAATTTCTTTTGCTTCTATAAAGAATAAAGTAGTGATTTTTTTTTAAATACTACTTAAATATAATTTCCATAATTTTTTATAAGATATATAAGAAAAATTTTTATTTCAAATTAAGTTTAATTATATGAAGGAATAATGAATTTAATTATTCCAAATTTTAAGATAAATTAAAATCAGTTATTTAAATGATGATTTAAATTAATGATGATTTAATCCTAAAAAATAATAACTTTTTAGAAAATTTTTCTAACAGATACTATATAGAGACAAGCTCGCATATATATGTATATGTGGAGATAGATACGTATGACATGCCAAGGGGGAGCTTCCCACGGGAGAAAGCGATTCTGAAAATTCTTCGAAGACACGTCGATAAAGGACTATACTGCTACACTCAAGAGAGCTCCTCTCTTACTCTTCGTCTCTCTTCTGCGAACACTTTCTTACCCGAGGAAATTGTATTTCGACGAGGAATAGCAAAGCGAAGATGACAAAGTCACGAAGAAAAATTGCGAAATTGCTTGCTGCAGTGGCGGCGCACTCTGGATACTTGATATACCTAACCTCTTCCGAATCATAACTTCTTCCTTTCTTTCATCGATCGATCAATGATAGAGAGATGAAAACAGACAGAAGACGAATAACAGTAAGTGAATCTTCTGATTTCGACAGAATATCTTTTCGAATACTTGTGTATTCTTT